CCTCAGGTTTATCAGTGCCAACACTTCGTCCTTTGGCCACCTTCTCCCAACATCGTCTTTCTCGCCAACGTTTGATGACAAGCTTTTATTCAAAACCGAATTTCTCTCTATTGGGTTTATGTTATTCTGGCTATTTAGAGAGGAAGAACTAGGGTTGGGTTGAGGAACTTGAGCCGAAGAGGAAGAAGTAGAAGGATTGGCAATCAGTTGTAATGTGTCTTGTGCAACACTCGAGGTAGGGTTTTCTGTTGCGGGTGTAGCTGGGATGTTTTCTGAAGGATTAGGGTTTTGGGTAATGTGAGATTTTAGGTTTGAGCCATTAGTTACTACCTTGAGGCTCTTGTTCGATGCAGGAGTGACCGAGAATTTGTTCAGTATTTGAATAATGTTGGTCTGTCTATCACCTGCAATGGCCTGCTCACGAGCCATCATCTCGAGCTCCTTGTTCATCTTCTCCATCTCTTGCTTCTTCCAAGCTTCCTCTCGAGTGAACTTCTCTTCGTCTCTCTTCATCATGTCCTCGAGGAGCTTGTTGTGCATCTCTTCTTGCTGCGCCATCATCTTGTGCACAATGCTCTCACAAAAACCCTTGAACATTTCAAACCTACCGGGCCTCTTTCTCTTGCGTGCCTGGTTCTTTTCCACAGCTGCTGCATCGTGGTTTTGTTTTGTCACGGGTGCCTCGAGTTTTCCAGAATCCCCTTCTTCCAATGGATGGTGGTCCATCTTGTCTTGTTTGTGTAGTTGGTGAGTCTTTTCTTGGGTCCCGAGATGATCGGCACCCCCTTGATGGTAAAGCTGTTCGAGCTCACTGAGAAACCGATAATTGTTGTTATTCTTGCCGTAATTAATGTTGTTGTTGAAGTATCTACTTTCTTCTTCAAACTTCTCCTTGCACTTCTCTGCACTCCTTTTATATCCAAGCTCTGCCAGCTTCCTGCGCCCACACCATAAATTATATAAATCCAAAACCAACCATGGAATGAAGCATCTAACAGCATCTTTGTCTTTAACAAGTATAATAATAGACAATTTTGCTTTCTTCCTTCAGTTTTCGTCCCTTCCTTCCTCTCGGGCTCAGTGTTTATGTGTGTCAAGGTGTCAGTGTGTGAGCTAAAGTGTGGGTGCACGTGTGCTTTTGTCTACCACACGAAGGTTTTAGGTAGCGCACACGATGCAACTACACTGATGAAACACAAAGTGCAGCGGGTAATTAATTCTCTGTTAAAGAATTTATTGCCTTGATTTGCAGGAGAATTGTTGATGGAAAAGAGCGTAGAGAAGAGGCAAGAACAGTAAAAAAGAAGGTATAGTAATCGATACCTGGAAACGTGTTCCCAAGTGAGTTCTGGGAACCAACTCTCCATGCTAGATCTGATCCTCAAGAGAGAAAGGACTTCGTCGTTAGTCCAGGGATGAATGAGCTGGGGAAGTTGGTGACCTTGATCTCTTTGGATTTGGAAGTTCATTGAGACAGCGGTGTTTTGTTCCTTGTCTTGTTCATCTTTGTGGGTAGGGGGTGGATGGTGTAACGGGTGCAAGAGAGTGTTGGGTTGGAGTGGCAGCTGATGAGGGTTGTAAGGATCAAAATTGGAAGGGAAGGTGGTATTGGGAGTGCCAGAAGCATGGAGAGGGAAAGGTAAGTGAAGAGGCAGTGAGGTCCTTGGAGTTATGAATTGGTGGAACTGCTCAGGTACTCCATCGAACATGTTTCTGTTTCTGTTTTCTGTTGACACTACTACTTCTCTCTTCTTTACCTCTTCTTTCCTGTGCTCACTGTAAATTAAAATCAGCAATAGCCTACAACCAACTTACAAACCACGCACCAACCTCACTTTCTCTCTCCCTCTCTCTATTTTCTGTCTTTCTTTCTCTCTCACATTTATCAAAGAATTTGTCCTTGCATGCAAGAGAAATCATAGCCCACCACCACACCCTTTTGGAAGAAAGTGAACTCACACCCCTAGCTACCAGACAATATTCTATATAATCATAATAATAATAATAATAAAAAAAAAGGAGGGTTAGCACAGAAATTATCAAAACTCTCCCTGGATTATCAAGTCATAATGATGTCAATCAACAGCTTGTTAATTGAAAAGAAAGAATCACGAGATTAATCAAATCATATATTTGTAATAGTTGTTAATATATTTTAAGAGTGAAAATGTGGTTTTCTTGAAGAGGTGAATCAGAGCACGTTAGAAATAAAAAGAAGCATATTCAGTGCTTTTTAGCCTTTTTCCCATTTTGAAATAAAATCCAAAGTGATCTTTATGATGCGTTGGTATTCCTTGTAGCGGAAAAAGTTTAGACAGGGAGAAGAAGGAGAAAGGAGATGCGAATTGAGGGAGAATGATTGACAGCAGTATACAGAAGAGAAGGTTTGTATCGTATGGGATGATGCAGTTGCTTGAAGAAGAGGATATGATGGGATGCATGATTGGGGATTGGAGAGGACGCGCGTGGAGGGAGAGTGAGGTGGAAAATGGAAGTGAAAAGAAAAAAGAAAAATAAAAATAGTTTTGGTTTGGTTGTCACTGGGCCACTCGAATCCTATGCAGTAGCTGATGCTCATGATGGTGTAATTAACGGCATCCGAATGGCAGGACACGTGAAAACATGCAGAGGATGGGACCAATTATTTAAGGATGGGAATCTTCACATGGTACAGAGGATACAGTGCTACAGTACAGCCTCACTCAAAATATTTCAATTTATTGATGGATATGTTGGGCCTACTATTCCATGTAGAGTTTGGATCTAAGAACGCCAACAATAAGAATATTTCCCCCACATTCAACCATTTACTTTCCTCTTTCCGCCACTTTCTTTGCATTTTAATCCTCCCTTTATATCATATTATCACCGCCATCCCTCCCGAGGGGGTGGTCGAAATAAGAAAAGAGGGGGTGGGGTAAGTGGTTAACCAGGTTGGAATGAGTTGTGGAAAGAGATATGTCATAAGTAGCAACTTCTCCTTCTCATTAGATTGCTTCAATCTCCACCCTTCGTACCTCTCTATAGCTGCCAGTTTTCACCTATTGGCCATGCTTTCCGCTGCATTTATTTTTATTTTCAAAACCTTTTCTCTCTTCTCCTTCAACCTTCAAATTTTATCTTAATTATTAAAAAACCTAGAGCCCATTGTGGGCCGAACTTACCCAAACATAAACGGGTCGTCTTCGTGGGCTTCTTTTATTTTTGCAAGTACACCTCGACACTTAAGTAACACAAAGTACAACTTTATCTTGGTGGTGTGAACACAGTAAATACAATGCAAATTCTACACTCCCAAAATATCACATATCTAATAAACTCTTCGTAATTAAAAAAAAAAAAGGTTTTGTCCAAATCAACAATAAAATTTGTTGAGGAGCGATTACGTAATAAGAAATGGTTTAAATAGTCGTATTTTAATTTGTTTATTGCTACTTTATTTAAATATATATATTGTACAATCAAATTCTATAACGTTACTCTCAGACATAAATCTTATTGAAAATTACGAATTATTTGTTCTACTCCTATTTATTTGGTCATCTTATACTCCTTTTCCACGAGAGTTTCTCTCCTTTCGTGAATCATAAGGGCACTCAAAGGTATACGTTTCTCCCTTTTTAAATTCTTCAAATTATTAATTAACAATTTTCAGAATGTGACTATGGGTGACACCAACACACATTAATCATTGTGGTTCTCAAACTTGTCTGTTAAATGTTAATAAGAACTTCATAAAAAAAAGTACTGATTGTCTTTAATATATTTGCAAATCTTCGCTAATATGTTTAGTAAAGTGTCTTTAAAGATAAAAAACCTGAATTCCGAAGTGATTTTGCATTATATGATCATAACACTGAAACCAAATTCCTTTGCGAATATTTTGTACATAACACTGCACACAAGCATGAATGAGTTGAGGTAGCATGTTGTAAAGTTTATGTAACTAGAAGAAAAAAGAAAGTACAAAAATAACACAAGAGTTAAGACCATGTCAATCAGAAAAAAATATATGATGAAACTCAACATTAAAGAGTGAATTCCGTCAGAAAAAAATCTACCTTCAACGTAATGCACCAAATGCTTTATTTCAAAATATAAACATTTAAAATTTGAAAGATATGTTTGTTTTAAACATTTACCCTAACCAACAATTATATCATCCCAATTAACACATAAAAACAATAATAGAACACAATCGGTATCCCAATTAACCATGTTTTGAAAAACAGAAACAAAAGAACAATAATTGGCTCAAATTGAAATGAGAAGTTTCAAAATGTTTAATATCTTTTATTTTGTTTTTTCAAATTACAACAACAACAAAAGAAAAAACTTATGTGGATAGAATAATGATTATTAAAATCAAATCATACATCTTAATTCAATGAATTGTTTTTTTTTTCCTTCTTAATAATAATGGAGTAATTCTTAACCGTGTAATAATTTAACGGATTCAAACTAGAGAAAATAAAATTAAACAAAATAATCTTAAAAAGAGAAATTTTATAAATAGTAAAAATGAAATGAGATTTTTTTTTAAATACCTAAATTATTAATTTTGAAATAAAATACCCAAATGATGTTTTTGACTGTCACTCACCTATTCCTTTTTAATTATCAGTTTTTAATAAAAATTTACCCTTTTTATCTTTAATTTTAAATATTACATAATTATATTCTATTATACTCTTAATTTAATTAACATGAAAATTAAAATATTAGTTATAACAATATAGAAAAAAATTTAATAACACAAATATATTGAAATAAGAAACTAAATATAATAAACAAGTAGCTTAAAGTTATATTAAAAAAAACAAACAATTTTCTTAAATATTTCTTTTAAAACAACTAGGATAAATAACATTATAAAAACCAGAGAAAGACAAAGTAAATTCCTAGTTTGGTTACAAAATAAACTATGACTTTGGTGTTGCTTTTGAAAAAGAATAATAATATTAAATAAATCCAAGTGATGTCTTAAAAACAAGTTAAAAATTACAAAACCCTTCGTCTTCCTTAAACCCTACGTTCATTAGACTTGACTCGTATTTTCTTTCATTCACAGACGGCGATGGCGGATTCTTCAAGCAACTCCAAGGATAAGAACAACACGCGCCTCTACCATCCCTACAAGGACCTCAACGTTCCAATCCAAAAACTCTATAACCTCCCCACCGCGCCGGAGCACCTCTTCTCGGAAGAAGCCGCCAGGACCCACCGATCCTGGGGCGACAACCTCCAGTATTACACCGGCACCGCCTACCTCTCCGGTGCAATCATCGGCGCCACCAGAGGCACCGTCCAGGGCCTCCGAGAGGCCGAGTCCGGCGACTCCCTCAAAATCCGTCTCAACCGAGTGCTCAACTCAGGCGGCCACGCGGGTCGCAAACTCGGCAACTCGCTCGGCGTCCTGGGTCTCATCTTCGCCGGCCTCGAGAGTGGGATGATCCACGCCAGGGGCACCGATGACTTAGTCAACAGCGCCGTCGCCGGACTCGGCACCGGAGCGCTCTACAGGGCTGCGGCCGGACCTCGATCAGCCGCCATAGCCGGTGCCATCGGAGGGATCGCCGCGGCGGCGGCGGTTGGAGGAAAGCAGGCTTTGAAGAGATACATACCGATCTAGCGAAGGAGTAGGTAAAGAGAGTAGAATGGGGATGGTAGCACAAATTACACTAATACTTTTAAGTTATTTCTCTCTTTATTACATTTTTTTTTAGCACAGTACAGTGTTTATTGCCATTAGCTTGCAATTTGTAAACTCTCCCCATGTGTATTTACTTACAGCACAATTGTTACAGAAATTGTGCTAATTGTTAAACAACCCATGTGATGAAAATTGACTCAACATGCATGACCTGCTACTTTTTACAGGTTTGGATTTAAACCTTAGACTTTATTATATTTTCTGAAAAGTCTCATCTTAGCTTAATTTTCTTTATTTATACAAATTATTAATATTGATTTATATTAGCAGTAATGTTATATCAGTATTGATATTCTTTATCTTAAATATCTATTATAAAATGTATTTTAATTACATTATTTCACTACTCATAATATTAATAAATTAATACATTTACAAATTAATTTCATTTTTATTATTTATTTTTCCTAATAGTATTCAGGGACTAATTTTATTTTTCGAGTTCATATTTTCTTCTTATTTTTTGATATTAATGTTTAAAGTATATTCGTGTTGGGATTTTAAAAATATTTTTAATACATTTTAAAACATTAAAATAAATATGTATATATATTGAAAATACAACAAAAAAATAATATAAAAAAATTAATAAAGAATTCAAATTTTTACTTTTTCACGAGTCAAAAGAAGGGCTTTTCCACTTTGTCATCTATTTAAATTTCTTGGGTCCAAATACGGTAACACAAACTTTACCTTTAAAAGGCCTACCTTTCACCTATTGTCCAAAGATAAGTGACAATGTTAGAAGGCGCATATGATTAACCTTAAAAAAATCTAAAGACAGACACTAATAACCGAAACAAGAAAAGGGCAAAGTTAATCCACATATATTCACTTCAAAAAATCAACATTAGTAACATAAATAATCACCTGAAAAGCAGTAAGGTGAGAGATGTATCTCAAAAAACATGATTAGTAAAAAGAATAGTCCTATTGTAAACTATAAATAAATAAAGATAAAGATACCTCCTACTTTTTTACATTTGTAGGAAAAACAGCTATTTTGCAAATAGGATCAGTAGTCCTCCAACACAATCAAAGAATATCCTACACTAGCCATATATTATATTATGTGCAATGATTTAGCTCATTCCACTGCAGTATTGGGGCCAAAGTTATATTTCAACATCAACTCGGGTTCTGATGGGCTTGAGCTTAATACCTAAACTCTCGGGGGAGAGGAGTTCTGGTGCTATGCATGAATGACTAGAGGGGCTTGCCGGGTTTGACCCATTGCTGGAAGAGGAAGCACCATGTATTTGTCTGTGGTAACCATAGCCCATTAAGAAACACTCCAGTGGCGTTATCATGGAATTTGGATGCTCTTCTGTTACTAATGAACCACAAGCCTGAACCTGAACAAGAATTTTAAATTCATCATCTTATTTCTGTTTATCTTTCTCAACTAGATTATATACATATTGACTTATATAATGAATGGACTACCTACCTCAACAAGCGCACAGTTTCTGTTATCCATTCTTGTGCTCATGTACACAGATTCAGCATGGAATGGACTGCTCTCTCCTGCAAATATAAGTGTCTTACATTGCAGCTCCTTCAGACCCTCAGTCAGGTCATGCCTTCTGCAAGCAGTTAACCATGGTAAAAAATCACGGAAACAACACTTTTGTGCCGATTCAAATTCTAGTTGTATAAACCATAAACAGACCACCAAAATATAGTATTTAATCATCTGAAGAATGTTTTAAGCATCATCAATTCTAGTTGTACACAATGGCTCACATGAATTAAATATCTAAAGGGAGAAAATACAGGAGCAGCGAGAAACTAAAACAAACAAAAAATATGTTTATCAAAAATTATAACTTACGCATTAATTGCTTGGAGAAATCGCATAACATTCAAACTTTGTCTCTCGTCTAGAAGCTGTAATATGGATCAGAATATATTATTATCAGCTAGTAAGAGTTCTATAGATACTAAAATTACGTCTACTAGTTGTTACTAAAACTGATATGTTCATACCCTTCGGCATGTTAGTATTATGTCCGATTCTGCTCCCTGAACATTGCCCCTAAGCTCCTATAACAAATGTAGAGAAGTAATGAAACATACAGCAACGATTCCACCTTCACAAAGAGGGGTGAGGGAAAGCATGGGAAAAATACCTTACTGAAGTAACGCTGCAGAAGGCATTCCTTCAGTAAACCGCACATACCATAAAAGTATAACAAATTCATCAACACCTGCATGAATGGTATAAAAATGTTTTAGGCAGACCTTGTATTTACAAGGTAATGAGTTTTTTTTTTTTTTTCTAATGCTTTAAAAGTTCCAAGCTTCTAAGGAATTGAGATATGATAACAATTTATGCTGAAATTGGATTCATTGCTATGTCAGACACACATGATAGACTTAAGTTTTCTTAATGTTCTGTTGTATACAAAGAAAACATGCGCATCCTTGTCAGTTAATGTTTTACTAAACGCCTTAATCCAGATACAAATACTTCAGTAGATAACATAAGATAAAAGCAAACGATAACAGAGATATTAAACCTTGTTGTATAGCCATTCAGTCCATGAAGGAGCTTTACAAATAGGTGAAACAAGAATCAATCCAAGCACTCGTTCTTTGTATTTCATCTGCCAAATTAGAAAAAAGCACGATGGTTCACTACACTGAATTTTTATGGTAGATGAAGTTATAATTCACAAATGTTAACTTACAGCAAATAGAGTGAGAACGTAAGCACCGGCTGTTACACCCAAGCATAGAACCTCCCTTAGCCTGATTTAAGAGGGTTTTCGATAAGGGTTAAAATCCTAAACCAAGTAAGAATATCAAAGAGACTCGTTTCAGTAATCTAAAAATATATTCAATAACAAATACTTAAGTTCCTTTACATAGACCTAACACATGTGCTCACTCCCTTACTTTAAATTACCCATAGATGCACAAAAAATATCACTTTCTTCCCAGTAAAACAATAGGGGATATTTTGAATATCCGATGTTGAACATACCCGAAGAAATCAAGGACTTCTGCAATCTGGTCAGCAAGGTCATCCACGCAAAGCAACGGTTCATCAGAAGAAATGACATCAGCTCCCAACTGCAATAACTCTTAAACAAATGAGAAGAGAGTCAAATTAGACACCAGGAGAAGAGAACATCCCAGACATTGTACATCCAAGTCAACTCTAATACGCAAGTTAGATTCCACAACATTGAACGGTGCCAACGAATTCACAATATAAAGGGACAGAGTCACATAGAAAAGCCTATGGACGCATACATAACTTGGAACACGAAACTTGGAATGAAGAAGGAGATGCAAATACCGACCTCATGTCCAGGTGCATCAATGTGATAAATGCAGAAGTTGTGAAGCAACAAAGAAGCTGCATCTGGGCAGAACAACAGACCCTGGAAACAAGACACATCTGCAAAAGGCCAAATCAAGCTGTGGAAATAATACACAAGTCCGGTAACATTTTACAAGAAAACTCATTGAATATATATTGTAAAAAAGACAAGAAAATAGAAACAAGAGATTACAATTAAGGGCGACGTCCGGGTAGGTTATTAGAGCGGGTTTTTCTTGATCTCCACATACAAGCACAGACAGAGAACCTTTACTTGTTTTCACCGTGCATTCCTGCAAAAGTATAATCTATGTTAAGTACATGGTTATCATAGAAACTCCATTACATCATGGAAAAACTTGGAGAAGAGTAAAATGAAATCACGTGATAAAGTGGCATTACCTTTCCTCCCAAAGGTATCAAATCAATGTCAATGGACACAGAGTCGCTTGACTCGCCCATGACTGCGCTCTCTATACATGAAATGCTCACACACCTTAATAATACCGATGATATTCACAGCCAACCTCTCTTCTTTTCTTTTCTCTTCCTATTCGTCGGTGTAAAATTACTGCCACAACCTCCTTATTTCAAGCGAACCACACAACTGACCTTAGTAAATACTCACAACTTGTCACAGTACGATAATTTACGGTCCTTGTACTGTGTCGTGAGTCCCTCAAGTCAGTGACCGTTGGAGTGGGTTAAAACACAATTCATTTTAAAATCTTTTATATTTATTCAGAAATTACTCGAGTCAATTTATAGCTTAGGGGGAAAATTCTTTCAAATATTGTCTTAATCTTGTACCTAATCATTTTCACTTTCTTATGTTTTTTGTTAAAATATGTTGTTTTGCAGAATTTGTGTCTGAGCTGGCATTGGCATGGGTTTGAAGGAGTGTGAACATTAGCGGCGCACATGTGAAGGTTAACTTATAGCATAATATATAAAAAATATATGAAATGGAAAATGGTGGGGTTTTTGGTAATTTCGAAAAGGCAGCATCATTATACAGCTGTAGGCCACATGGAATTTTGTTCTGAGAGAAAGCTCTCCACTAACATATGATCAGACGCCAGCTCATTCGTGTTTTTTGGTACATCTATATTACTCCACCATTTAAACCTAATCAAAATTCTCCAGACATTTAATACCAAATATGCTCTATTTTTATTAAATGTTTTAGAATAAATTCACTTTTTTCATTTTATCAAGTAGTGTATTCTGAAAATAATTATATTCTAAAGTTAAATAATTTCAAACAAAAATATTCTGAAAACGAAATGGAATAAGCTATCTTTCTTAGATTAATGTATTTCTTAATGTATTATTTGTGTGACTTTCTCACCAAGATTCTAACCATCCTGTTGGTAGTTCAGAATATAAAATATTCATCTTTTTATTTCACTGAAAGCAAGCCCCGCAATGTATAAATATTTGTTAATATTATTGTTATTTTCCACACAATTGTGCAAAAGGGTCTGAATTTATATAATTTTGGCCTATGAAGTAATATATTTTAGATTTTGATGATGTTAATAGAGACATATGTTAATAAATGAATGCTTACAAATTGAATATGTTTAGGCATTTGTGTTGCAAGAATCACTCCTGATTGGAAGGAGAGTGATGAAGTTCACTGGGAAATGTAAAAAAGTAACTAGTTAGGGCCATGCATGGTGATTGATTGGTCCGCGAGATGGAAAGGAACTGAACGCGGCTTTTCCTTTACCCCGGTGATCACGGTCTCGTGACTAACAACTTCCCATAAATATTCAAGCATATGGGTATGGAACCACGATACAAAACATTTTTCTTCTATTCTAAATCAAATCAAATACACAACCTTATTGTCATGTTATGTAACCGTGTTTACTCTGCAATTCACCTCATGAAATTCTCCTTGCACCATGCCACAACTATTATTCCTTTTCTTTGCCAATTTTCAATTTGCAAGAAAAAATTGATGGAGCATCAACCAAAACATCTACCTTAGTTAGTCATCAAGGGCTAAGTAAAGTAACATTATGTGAAAAATGTGGCTATAAATGTAAATATACGTTAGCAGTTGTTGATGATGTCGAGAGTGTTCACTTACAAAATTGCAGGATCAGCTTTCGTGGCGGCACGGACCAAGACCAGACGCTGTTTGTGTTTGTTGGGCACAGTGCAGACAGGGCTTTTTTTTACCTAAAAACATTCATTCAATCCTATTTTTTTACTATAAATTATATTTTGACATATATTTATTAGATATCATTGACAAAAAGGTGAGCTTTAAGTTTAATTTTATTTTATTAAATTAAATTATAAACCTGTGAAGTGAAAATTACGTTTATTTATATATTTTAATTTAATATTATTTTTACTTTACCTCGTACTTTCAACCATAATGGTGTATTCTTTGAGTTTTAACACAATGGTAAGAGATATTTAAGTTTTCTAAAATTTTCATTAGTTGAAACTTTATGCACTTATGTCTTAACTTTTTTTTTTTAAGGATTTTGGTTAGGTGGAAAAATATGCACACCCTCTTAGGTGCCATTAAAGAAAAGTTACTCCTTTTTGTCAGTTTCTCTTTTTGTGTACCATATCATCATTAAAAAAAGAGGATAAATTTTACTTTTATAAATTTTATATAGTAAGAAAATATGGAGAAAACAGAGAAGATGTGTGATTAAATTGGTGATATGATAAAACATTAATTCCAAAAGAAGGGTATTTCTATGTTAATATCGAAAACTTTTGAAAAGTCTAGGTAAAGTTTAATTGTAAAAGATGAGAATGTAGGCTTGGTCTTAGCCCAAACTGTTTTGTGAAGAAGGGGTTAAATTGTTTTGATTTATTTTTATACCTTTTCTCCTCCTAAAACAGTGGTTAAGGTAAATGCACTTTTTAAGAAAATCCTTGAATAGCTAACAAGCATTTCAATTGTGTAAAAAACCATTTTAAAATAATTGTTTCAAAGGAACTTCAAATAAAACCCTTTTTGTTTCTTGTGTTCTCTCTTTTCTTGCCTATTTATTTATTTTTCCTTCTCGTCTTTCCTCTCTTCTTCCACCTTTATCGTAGTCATTTTTTTAATTTAAAAAGTAAAAGTTACTAAACAGTTTCTATTTTAATTTTGAAGTTACTATTATTCTTAGTTTGAGATTTAATTAATTTTAATTACTATTTAACTTAGGTTTGATGACTGAGGATTCCCTCCTAATATTTAACTAGATCGGCCAATACATTAATCATTTTCGGTAAATTTTCATATTTTAATTTTGACAGTAAGGTATGTAGGAAATATATCGGAATAAATATTCAAGTTTAAATGAGAAAAAAAAATGTAAACTCCACATATAAAACTAGAAACAGAAAGGTTAAATTGTTGTAAAGATAGAGTGAACTTTGAGATAAGGGTGTAATGATCAACATATTTATGCATTCATAATCTAAAAGTTCATAGTAAGTTAGAAAGTGCATCTAAAGTAACATGGGAAAAAAAATTAGTATTGATTATCCAGAAATTCTATAGATACATGATTCTAAGGACTATCAAATGAAACATCTAAATTTCCTTTATAAAAATAAATTACTCTGTTAAAACAGTGTAGCAGTCACCAATTTTTTCCTCCTACTAATGTAAGGTAGATTTTGCCATATTGCTCTATCTTTATTACCTGGCAGCCGGATCCATGGCTAACATCAGTGGAAGTACACGAAGAACATTAAATACATGAAAATTAAACTCCAAGATAACATGCACAAAAAAAGGGTAATCTCTGATAGGAGCAAGATTTTAAAGCAGTAGGACCGTGGCAAAATTTGGTAATGATACAAGATAACCGTACAGTGATAGATATGGAACGTACAACTTACAAGTTAGAACATGGAAGAATTAGTGCTGTGTAAGTTCATTTATGAGGGATCAAGGGTATGCATAAAAGTAGCAGAGTAATAAGAGTACTTGATGCACAAATAATACAGAGGTATGCAGAGTTTGCCTAGGTATTACAGGGCCATATGAGAACAGTAAAAGCATAGCAACATCAAATATCACCTACTTTTACACCAAGTTCCGAACATCTTAAATCATGTTTGAATCTATCACATTCCTCCTTTAAATTATTTCATGACACAATTTATAAATAACTGAAAATATATATAAACAAAGATGCAGAAAATCAAAAGGATAAAAAAGGATGCATTAAGGACAGCACTATATACAATCTCCAAAGTGACAACACCATTAGGTAGCTTCTCTTCCACATCTCCTATACCTGCATAATGTATTTCCTCCTTACCTTTACACAGGAGGAAAAGTTCAACCAAGCGTTCATTAAAATTGTTCTTCACATGTCAGCATCTACAGTCACGTTGGAAGATCAATACTGCTGAAAAGTTATTATATGGAATGGATATAGAGAAAAACATATGAGCTGCAATGTAAGTAAAACAAAAACTACAGGTGATAGGGTATAAATAAGTAACAGTAGTATAGTTTTCTATTCTGTTTAGATCGTGGAATATTTCTTCCATGAGCATCCGAAACAGCAGCCAGGCGTCTTACAAGAAATTATAACTGTCTTGTAACTATTAAATTTATTCGTGTTGCTTAAATTGTTAGACAGAATCACACAGCAGACAGGCAGCAGAATGAAAAAAATAAATAAATTCCTGGATTTAACTGTGAAGGAGAATAATAGGTATGCAGGTAAAAATACAATATCAGAGCTTCATATAGGGAGTCACGAGTCAGATTTTAAAATGTTCTCAGGTTAATTGATAGTTTGAGTAAGACATCAATCACATGCCATGATTCATCTTCATATCGTATATAGAAAGATACCTGGTTTCTCAGCACGAAAATGAATAATAAATAAATCAATATGTACCAAGATAATAGCCAGGATCTCACGCCCAGTTTTCCAATTATCAGACATCAGAGAGTAGGATTTTCCACCAAGAGAAGTATTCCATAGCCTGATAATAGTGAGACTATCTTAGTTTCCTGAAATATAGTAAAGCTCTGTGGATTATTATAATACAAGAAGAAATATAAATTATCATTCATTCTAATTTATCGATCTCTTTCCCTCACATGCTACCTTCCTCTTCAAACTCAACTGCCTCTGGATTGTTACTGTATCTTCTTAGTAGATAATGAGCATTAGTATATTGCAGGTCTATATCTGAAATAAGAAATCAAAAGAACATGTACTAGAATGACACAGAACAAACTATGGACAAAGAGTTTTTCTAATAAAGATATCATAAAATTAACACTTGAAGATAAATATACAGCCAATTGGAGAAAAAAAAAATGTCCATGATCTGTTCAAATGCACAGATATATTGAGGTATGAATTTAAGGTAGAAACGATACAACAAAAGTACTCATCTTTGATCAAGTGTAAAACAATCATATCGTCAATAACCCACAACTCACTAAATGGTCTGTTAGTATGGTGAGTATGGTGGATTTCCACAACTCTAGTCGTTCTTCCACGCGTATAAAATATGGGAGAAGCCAAGACCTTGTGACTTGGTCTCAGAAAACCTCTGAGAGAACGACCACTGCAGCACATTTGCATCAGAAAGGGGTTGCCCAGCCCACAATTTTTCCTCGGAAATGCATGTTCTGAACATAAAGACAGCATTTCCAAGAGATGTGCCAAAGAGCCAATTATAAACATCCCAGAAAACTTCAACTGCAAGGCCATCCACCAAGATGGTATGGTTTCCCCTAAACTTCCACTTCAGCCTCTTCACCTGCATCACCGTTTTGCTATCTATGCGAATGATAAGGCACGGATCAGACACCCCTGAAGTGTCACATTCTATGACAAGATCATGAATCTGACCATTGTCACAAAACACAGCCTTATTACCAAACATCTTCTTGCCAAAAACATGTTCTTTTTTGGCAACAAACACTGCATTAGAGGGTAACGGAATGGCACCGGATTTCTTGAAGGCCTCTTTCCTCAAATCTCCAAGAAGGAGAACCATTTGCCGATCTACAACTACTCCTACATAAAACCCCTCCAAGGGTTCAGGACCAACACCAAATCTAGCAGAAGAAAGGTCCCAATACACATCAATCTTACAAGAATAAGCCTCTAAGCTCTTACTGCCCCTCCTCTTGGAAAACACCCAGGGCTTGATATCCACCTTACACAGACACTGATTTGAAGAATCATCGATCCCAACGCTAAGTCCTTGCCCCATCAAGCTCTTACTCCACGTGATGGTTATCAAGCAGCACTTACCTCTTATCCGGCATTGGTAAACGCAGATAACTAGATTCTGTGCAGTTTTGCTGGCGTTTGAAGATGAAGAATCTGCAACCTGAACTGCATTTTCACCAAAGCAGGAAGGGAAGTCCTTCATTTTTGTTTCCTCAAACAGCAACCAACCAGAACCGAATTCAATTTGGAACCTTTTTGGCAAATAGAACAAAAGTAGACAACAAATGTTCTCTCTCTCTCTCTCGCTCTCGCACACACACATAAACACACTCTCTGTATATATATATATATATCTGAGGATAAGGCAGAAGGTGCAGAGAGCTAAGAGAGTGTGTTACCTTGGTGGATCAGAGATGCAGTACAAGGCATATCAGAGAGTGTTGAAGAGATGGGGTCTTAGATTGGAACCCATGATTCTATCCATCTGTTTTTTGAGAGAAGAAGAGCGGAAGAGGCGCGTGCAGGTAGAAGACAAATTTGGCGGAATGTAGAGAGTGAAAGGGGGTCACAGAGAAGAAGACAAAAGGCAGACTTGTCTCACTGTCAATGCCACGAATCAATCTCCTACAATTGATTTTTTATTTATTTTTCAATAATAACAATAGTAGAGTGTGTGTGACTCTATTCTATGGCTACTATTATGGTTTAAGAATTAGCATAGAGGAAAAAATAGAGTGTGACAAGGCAAAGAAAAGAAGGGGACAATGTGGAAGAAAATGGTAACTGGGTGGAACTTGGAAGGCTGATCTGTGAGAGTTACTCTACACTGATTAAAGTTAAGAGGGGAAAAGAAAGGTTCTTTTTTTTTCTACTGTGTGTGTAGTTGCTTTTGCCCGACAAGCACACATGAACCAACAAGAGATTTCTCAATCATAATAACAAAAATGAAATACTATTATTATGTTTAGACTGAATAGTCAATGAATGTAAATTCCCTTTATTTGGCATGTATGTATTCAAAGGGAAGGAGAGTGAGTGAAAGCTTCAGCTTGAGAATGACTTCTTTCAAACTGGACCCCACACTCTCTTGTAAAAATCACAACACCTTCTCTTCCCTTCTCCTAACTCATTTTCATTTTTAATATCACTTTCAAGTTTTACACTAATTAAAATTTACTAAGATCATTAGAATATATATACAAATATTCATAAATTTATTATCAGTTAAAATTTTGGATTAATGGTGGTATTTTAATTTTATATATAGATTTATTTACAATTTATTCGAACTGAATTTTTCAATGTTTCTCTTTCAAAAAATTAAGATGTATATTGAATAAAAACGAGTATCATGATTTATATATAAGTGGAATAAATTAGTTCACTGTATTAGATTAAAGTAACTAAGATAAATAATATATAAATAATAAAATTTTAAATTAAAAAATAATATTTAAAATCTTTTATACAAATTTATATTTAATTACTAGTTCCTGTAATTTAGATTATAATTTTTTTTTATAATATTTAATTTCTCATTTTGTTGAATCGATTTAATATAGTTTTTTATGTTAAATCAACGTCAAGTATATTTGATATGTAATAAAATATTGATTAAATAAAATGTTTAATTAGTAATTTGATTTATATATTTTTTTATATAAAAATAATTTGGTTGTTTTTCTATCAACATCATTCTTCTTCTTCGTGAATTTTAAAAACAAATCCTAAAAATGAATCCAAAAGTCAACAAGTATTTGACTATGCAATAGACAAAATCCAAAATTGTAAATATATGATATTAAATCTAAAGAGCCAATCTTAAATCTCAAGGACAGTATTTTTATAAATTTGTATCACTTAGAGAAAAAGAAGTTAGAAAGTTAAAAAATAGTTTTAACTCACACATGATAACCTCTTTGTAATATTAAAACCTTGATTTTATGAAAAAAGAAATACAGGTCTTTATTTAAACATTATAGAAGGGTTAAATATGTTTTTATTCCCTTAAGGATCACACGATTTTGGGTTTAGTCCCTACTCGAAACTTTGATTGCTTTTGCTCCTCATGGTTTTGAAACTGTTATAAATAGTCCCTAATTTTGGATGGCGTTAACTTTTGTTTGACATGGCAAACGGTCAGCCCACGTCTGACGCCAGATATGAGTTTATTCTCTGCCATGTTTTCTTTTTTTTTTTTATTCCAAATTTACACACAAGTCCCTAATTTCTTCAATGTTTACTTCTTCGTGGGCTACAACACCGCATCATCATGGAAACAAAATCCAGATAAATGTTTTGAAACCTATGTCACAACCATTCAAATTATTTTTACCTTTTATTTATTCAATTTATTTCTACATCCCAACCCCGTTTGTTGGTATTTTTATCATGTTAAATTTAACATATATTATGCTAATTCAATATTTTTTTCTCTATAATTTATACCATGGTGAAAAAATTATGACATTGTATCCAAAATTTGCTATGAATATAGAAAAAATATATGCACTAATACAAAAATATCGTATAACGTCCGTGTTTTTTTGGTCTTTCACGTCGAATTCGGGATCGACGTAATACCAAAAGACGTTAAATTCATGTCGAATTTAAAAATTTTGACGTTAATTGACGCTGAATATAGAACAATTCGACATCTCCAATAGAGCAAATTAATGTCAAATTTTGTTAATGTATGACGTTAATCAACTTTTTTGTTTTTTTAATTAATTGTGATCATTTATGATCTTTTTTACAACTCTACGAAACCCTGAAAGTAGAAAAACAACAAATGTAATCCAGTTTTTGGTATTTTTATACAACATGAACTATGAATATATAGTGTAGTACCAATAATAAACAACAACAAACAATAAACAAATTTAACAAAACAACAACAACAAACAAGTTAAATAAATAAGTTCTTCAAAACGAAAATGAAAACTAATCTTCAAAAGGTGGGTTCGTCAAAATAAAGTGTTGTCACTAGTGAGAGAAAAAGTAGAATGCGCCTATGAAGGACAAGAACACGAAAACAATCTATCAAAACAAACGAAAATCATAGTTAAAGTAGTTAATCAACATGCATTTGTATCAAATGAAAGAAAGTTTACATGTGATGGTCGTCAAACTTCGTTCGAGAAAAAATTGAGCAGAGATGTGGGGTACAAACAAAGTCCCACATCGGATAAAAGAAGAGTTGGACATGAGTTTATATACACATAGATACTCAATTAGTAAGAGGTCTTTTGGAGTGATACCAAAAACAAATCTGTGAGGGCTTGACCCAAAGCGGACAATATCTTATCAAAATCAAATCGTGATCCTATTAATGAAGCAACAACTAGTACCATAAAGAAGCGGTAGTGATGCATTATATTTTAAAAAATTATGATATATAACGATTTTATACTTAGTTTATATAAAATAAAATTAAGGCAGTTTAAAATTACTTGGATTGACCTATCAAGAATTCAAGTAACTGAGGTTTCATTCTGGTTGTTGTTTTATACTCACAAAAGTTAATAATATCTCACTTGGGTATATAAAATTTCAAAAACATTCTCCAACATCAGAAAGATTGTCCAATAAAAAATATTGCTTCCCAAAACAGTGCAAAAAAGTTAAACATAATTTAAATGGAATTATTGCAGTGGTGAGGGTGTAAAGTATACATCCAAAATGCGTTACTTGCAAGTGACTCTTCGTTATGGGCGCACATACATACACATCTAATTATATGGTTTATTGAATTTTTTACACAATGCCCACATCACATTTTCTGTCCTTCACCTGTTTGTGAAAAGTTCCAGCTCAAACCATTAGTTCTCTTCATCTTATAGCCTTTTCATTTCCACCAGACAGTTTTTTCAGAAACGATCAGTAGTTTCCAAGTGTTTCACCTAACTGCACGCGATAGAAAGTTAGTTGTATCATTTCACTATAAAATGGAAAAAACAAATCAGTAAATAGCAAATACAGTAGTTTGTTCTTGATTTTATTTGAATCAGTGACCTTTTTTCTAAGTTGTTTTTATTTTATTGTTGCCCTGAGCTTACAGTTGTCTGCCTTGACTTTCCTTTTATAATGGCATGGCATCGCCACAAAAGTTGTGATCTGATAAACTTATCTTCATATACTCTGTGAGTGAGAAGGAAAATAAAGTTAAAAAGAAGAATAAATTAGTACGTGACAATTGGATTTGTCCCCATACCAATTGATTTATATATTTATATTCTTGATAGAGAAGGCACATTGACGAGTATTATAGTTTACAAAAACAACCTTAGCATTTCCTCCTTTTCCACTCTGTCTTCCTTCTTTTCAATCAAGAGAACTACCACTTACGCTAATGACAACATAACATACCTTTCATCACAAAAAACACCAAATCATTCTACATAATCAAAATCGAGACTTAGCTTAATGCCACAGCTTGTGTTAAGTTAAACCTAATTGGTCGCAAACACACCAAGTGGGCCATTTTGTTTTTTATAACAGTGACAATAACAAAAGGTTATTTATGTGATTCAACACATAACAGAGAATCCTCTAAATTCAACGTAGCTAGGGTGGTAGGTATTGGTGAGAAGTGAAAAAAATGGACCATCCAACATAAATACTGGAGTTGTGCATACACACTGACACACTTTGTCGAAGGAATTTGTCACTTTCTTCAAGAGAAGAAAATATATGTCTAAAATCTCTGTGAATATGTTAAATAATGAGTGTGTGGATTACACGAGTCAAAGAGGAGAGTTGATTAGGCTTAATAACAAAAAGCAAAGTGAGAGTATTCTGAATTTTGCAATTAAGTAATTAGTGCTTTGTAGTTTCACTTTTATAAAATAATACTGCCATCATTATTGTACCTGTTTTATATTCAGTATTGACAGATCGATAAGTTCACATCTGATATCGTGTTGTGCAGAGCAATAAACATTTGTTTTAAAAGTCTATCATAAATTTAATTAGAGCTATAATTGAGCTGGTATTCTACAATTCAATCCAATTATGTTACATATATACTATGGTATTCTTAATATTTATAAATAATAATTGAAACAAGCTTATCTTCTTAATATTTCATAAGTTATATTTATTAAAATAAAATTTTATTATTGAGTTTTGTACTATGAAATATACCGATCGGAATTAATTATCATTCATGGACAATTAACAGTATTAATAGGTGTCTTACGCTTTACAAATAATACGGTATTGGGTTTGATTGCCTAAAAATATATTGCACTAATGATTAATCAATAGACTTAGCTGTCACAAAATCTTGTAAATATCCAGGTACAATTATCTTTTTCTATCATAATAAAATAGTGACCTCTCTTTATGAAACATATCTAACTTGAATGTCAGAGTGTCTTCTGCATGTCAACAACTCATCAAAATGAATTGAAGATTGAAGATCAAAAGAGAACAGAACAAGGAAGGACGACCGACCCTCATACCAATTTAACCGAAATAGGTTTTTATGATATCAAGCAAACTTTTAGACTGATTATATTAGGTTGGTGTGTTCATAATGTAAATAAGTGAAACACAATATAAAATTACATCAAACATTAAATCTAAGTGATCTAGATAACCCTGTAATAATGCAAAAAGCATCATATAAATAAGAATAAAAAATGCTTTTTCTACAACTATGTCGAGATACTAAGGATAAACACTTTAGTAGAAAAAGAAAAAGATGGATAAGGAAAGCAAAAGTGGTAAGTGGTGCGAGATAGTAGAGCCAAACTTAATCTTCTACCTATGCGACCATA